AAAAAAAAAAAAAAACAAAACCCAGTACTGTCCTCCACACTCCAAGATTATCCCCACATCACAGCCCAGGAGAGACCCCATCATAGGATAATGCTATCCTTGTCTCAGCCAAGGACTGTCCCTATCACAGCTCAAGCTGTTTGATTAAATCCCAGAACTGTCCTGTCACAGCCCCAAACTGAGCCAAAGCCCAAAATGTCTTTGTTGGGGCCTGATCTCATCACATCTAGAACTGCCCACTCATAGCCCAGAATTCTTCCATCACAGACCAGAGCTGTTCTATGACAGCCAAAGACTCTCCCCATCACAACCCAGATTGTTTCTGTCAATTCCCAGGACCATTCCCACCAGACCCAAGTGCTGGCCCAACACAGTTTATAAATGCCCCCCTCTAAAACCCAGCACCTTCCCCTACTATAGCCCAGGATAGTCCCTGTCAAATCCCAGGGCTGTCCCTTTCAGAACCCAGAAGTATCCCCATGTCACTGCCTATGCCTGTCCCTGCAATACTGCTGCCATGGCCCAGCACTGTCCCCATATCAAAGTGCTGGACTAATATCCATCATAGCTCAGGACTCAGCCCTAGAGTATCTCCATTACAGGATAAAACTGTCTTCATCAGAGCCAAGGACTGTCCAGTTATGAGGTCAGAGCTATCCTATTACACCAGAACTGTGCCATACCAGGATTCTCTACATCACAGCCCCAACTGTACCTGTCACGGCTCAAGACTGTCTCACCACAGACCAAGAATGTCACCATCAAAACCCAGATTGCCCCTGTCAAATCCCAGGTCTATCCCTGTCAGTCACTAAGACCCAAAGTAAAAATCTGCCCTGGTATTCATCAGCTAAGTTAAGAGACCCAGATAAAGTCAGGCACAGTTAACAGGAAACACTTCTCCCCAAGGTTATGCTGCAGCTGTCATGGGTTGTAATTACACCTTTCTTGGACTGTTTCCTTCTTCATCAAGATACACTGTTTTCTAAATTACAGATTTTTGAAAACTCTGCTGTTTGATATCATATCAGTAAGAATGGATCATCTCTTGCCTGGAGGAACTATGTCATTTTGACAAAAAGAACTTGCCTCAATTTCCAATCCAGGTGCACACTTCAAATAAGTAGTTTTGGAGACACATCACTCCCACCTAGCCTTTATCTACCTTTAGTTTCAAGAAAATAGAACCTTGGATGCAATTCCCAGTGGAGATTTGAGTTTTAACTCTGAGCCTTCATCCTAACCCCATCCCTAGAGGTCCTAGGCCCCTTATCCCAGAGCTCCCCCAGACTGTTCTCTCCCTAATCCTCCCAGGGCAACATCGTCTAATTCACTACCCACCCCAGGCCCCATCCTCTCCCATTACAGACTCCCTCTGCATGTTTCCCATTTTGTACTTCCCCGCCAATTACGTGCCCCCACCCTATCAGCGTCCACCTACTTCCCCTCTTAACGCCTAGGGCTCCTTTCCAAGGGGTCCCATCCTCCTCTGCCCCCACAAGCGGAACCCCAGGGCCGGAAGATAAGCGCCGAGCCGGACAGGCTGCGCGCGAGTGGGCTTCCCGGAAGTGCATCTCCCCCTAGGTCCCCCGGTCCCCCGGAGAGGGGCTGCGAACCAACCTGCGTTAGTGAGGCTGCGGCCATGATCCGTGTGGCGGGTAACAGTGCCCGCCCGGGGCGCGGCCGGGGAGAAGGACGTTCCGGCCCCGCCCCGCTCACACCCCCTCACGGGGGAGGGCCGCCTGCCTGGCACCCCAGGCCCGCAAGGCCTCCCCAGCTATATGGCTCCCATGGGGAGCCGGTCTCAGCTGCGAGCGCTCGCGCTAGAAGGGACGGGACTTTAAACGGTCCCCTCCAAGCTCTGTTCTTGCCACACTGATACCCGGCAGGAGCGTGCATACAGCGGTTTTCAAAAATGTGTTTTCACATAGACTGTCGCCGAACTCTGGCAAGAATAAGCAGCACGAGGTAAGAGACGAGAAAGGCAAGGAGCAGAAAGCTCGGTTTATCACGATCCCTTTGCGAAAAGGAAGAGCACAGTCAATGTCAGTGGCGCACACATCATGTAAACGCACTGAAAAATGATGTGCCTCTGAACAAGGTGGCAGGTAGGGCTGAGGGCCAGCTTAGCTTTGCAGTCTGCATACTTTCCTTTGTGAATATAGTTTTTATCATCAACAAAAAGATGTATATGGAGTCGTTTAAACTCTCTAAGAGATTAAAAAAAAATGCACACGATTCCCCATGGCTACTTCCAGTCCCTTACATCTGACAAGCCCCCAGATTTTCCATCCTCAGTTCATCGCTGAGCCTCGGAGAGCGCCCCCCCATAACAGGGTTTCCTGGTTACTCCCCTCCAGAGAGGCAGTTAGCCAATGACAGTTCTCAGGATCCCTCTGGCCTCTACAATTCAGTATCCCCTATATTGTGCTACTCGGTCACTATGTGCATCCTGGTTCCTGCGATACCAGACTCCGGTCCCTCGATCACTGTGGTTCCATAATTTTATTCTGGGACACTCCCAAATCCTGCACCCAAATTGTCAGTGTGCCCCACCCCACCCCTAACAGCCACAGGCACGGGCAGCCATATCACGAACCCTCCCCCTCAGGGTGTTGTCCCTGTTTTCTTCTCGCCTCCGCACTCCTCCTCCCCCCCGCACTCCTCCTCCCCCACCACCAGCTCCAGGCTGTAGGGGCGGCACCGCCCCTACCGCCCCCGCCCCCGCCGTGGCCAATCAGCGGTTGCCGCACACGCCCCCGCCGCGGCCAATCCGCTGCAGCTCTGCAGCTCCACCCTCACCTGGGGGCGTAAACGCGGGCTGGGCCCTGCGCACCATCTAGGGAATATCGAGTCTACTCCTGCTCGGCCAGGGACCCCATATGTCCTCCTCCCCTCACTCAGGAGTCTCAGCCTCAGCCACTCTTTCTGACCCAGATGTCTCGACCTCCCACTACCTCCTCCTTCCGGACTTTCAGAGCCACCCACCTTTCTGCTCCACAGGCAGGGTCAAAACTCCTTTTCCCCCTAAGGGCCAAGAATAAAGAGGAGGCCCTTTGGAGTCTCTGCCATTATCTTCTAATTAGCGCTTAATTTACTCTCTCCTGTGGGCCTTTTAATTAGCGCTCAGGTGAAGCCAAACTGCTCTACCTTTCCGTGGAGCTCCCGGCGACAGACTGGCGACAAGACAAGACAAGCGACAGGCATTAGCAACATCAGGCACCTGCGGGCCATGTGGAAGCTGCTGTAATGCCTTACGGTAGAAGCAACATGGGGGGGGGGCAGAAGGACTCCTACAACGGGCAGGAAATAAATATAACTGATGTCCTCTTCCTGCTAGCTGGAAATTTCTTTTATAGGAAACTACAGGGTGATCTGGAACCTTTCTAAAGTGGGCTTCAAGTCTAAGGGGCGGGGGCTGCACCTGGGAGGCAGATGGTATACGTTGGAATTTGGGGGGAAAGAGTCCTACGCAGGGAGGGGCAAGTGGAAATGTGGGTAGTCAGGAAGGAGTAGCAGGGGCATCCATGGGTGTGATGTGACCAGCCTTGCATCCATAACCTAGTTCTGCACCCCCTGTCACAAGCAGCTCGATGCCTGTGCAGAAGGTGGCTCCAGAGGCCAGAAACACTGCTGCAGCCCCCACCTCAGCAGGCTGGCCCATGCGGCCCAGGGGCTGGGGAGAGAAGGGGGAGAATAGAGGTCAAGAGGAGCTGGCTTGATGAACACACATCACCAGGCCACCTCCTTCCCCTTGGCACTGGCCCCCACTCCTACCTGGGCCAAGGTGCCCTCTCGGATTGTAGCCCTCGGATCAGGTGTTAAGGCTGCCAGCTCTTCCCATAGTGGGGTCCAGATGTTTCCTGGAGAGATACTGGGGGATGGGAGAGCGGATCAGAGAAGTCTGTCTCAAATACTGCCTCTTGGGCTCACTCCTAGTCTTTCCAGATCCCCCAGGAGGCTCTTTTGGCCTACTTGGAACTGCTCACCAGTTGACTCGGACACCATACTGACTCTCATCTAAGGCCAAGGCTTTCGTCATGGCTGTTACTGCCCCCTGCAGAAAACAAGGCCAGGGACACAATTCAGTCCACCAGAGATGGGGTCCCTCCTGTCCTCTCCCCCCGGCAGGAAGCATCGAGTCACAGCATCTAAATGGATAAGCAATACCCTCCTTAGATGTACCAGGCCCTGCTTGTTTCCTGGGAGAAACTTGGGGCATGACAACTTGTCACAGGTTATGGCTTGGGCTGAATAAGGGAGTTGGATGTAGGATTCTCCTAGGCAAGGTCTTGCTGGGTTCTGCTTTTTTTTTTTTTTCTTTGAGACAGAGCCTCAAGCTATCCCCCTGGGTAGAGTGCTATGGCAACACAGCTCACAGCAACCTCCAACTCCTGGGCTCAAGAGAGTCTCCTGCCTCAGCCTCCCAAGTAGCTGGGACCACAACTCCTGGCTATTTTTTGGTTGCAGCCGTCATTGTTGTTCGAACCCGCCACCTTAGGTATATGTGGCTGGCACCTTAGCCACTTGAGCCACAGGCACCGAGCCTGAGTTCTGCTCTTAAAGTGTCTAGCCTCAAAGGCAAAGCCCAGGGGAGTGAGGAAGGGAGGGGAGAAAGGGGCAGGGGCTGATGTACCTTGGTGGCCACATAAGGAACTGCTTGGGACTGGCCAATTGCCCCTACCAGGCTGGAAATGTTGATGATGTTCCCTTGACTCTTCCGCAGGTGGGGAAGGGCAAGCTAGGGAGACAGGAAGTGGAATAAGCCACCCTAGCCCACAAAAAAACTCTAGCTGCCCACATCCTAATGTCTGGGACAATGGCCATCTTCCTGGCATGTTCCTTGTTGATCTCAGTGGTCCATAGGGACAGCATCTCGTACCTTCTCTGGTTTGCCCTAGGGTTGCTTGGTGTCAGGACTTGAAGCTTTTTCTTTCTTTCTTTCTTTCTTTTTTAGAGACAGAGTCTCACTTTGTCATCCTGGGTAGAATGCTGTAGCATCACAGCTCACAGTAACCTCCAGCCTTGGGCTTAGGCGATTCTCTTGCCTCAGCCTCCTGAGTAGCTGGGACTACAGGTGCCTGGATATTTTTTGTTGCAATTTGGCCAGGGCTTAGTTCAAACGTGCCACCTTCGGTATATGGGGCTGGTGCCCTACTCACTGAGCAACAGGCGCCGCCCTTGAAGCTTTTTCTTGTCTGAAGGGGTTTCTCTTTGTGTCTCTTTTACTGGGTTTCTAACTATCTTTGTCTCTATTTCTCTCTGGGTCTTTATTTTTACTTACCTATTTTTTCTGAGACAGAGTCTGACTTTGTCACCCCGTAGTGTTGTCGCATCATAGCTTACAGCAACCTCAGACTCCTGGGCTCAAGCGATTCTCTTGTCTCAGCCTCCCAAGTATCTGGGACTACAGGTGCTACAACGCCTGGCAATTTTTAGAGATGGGGTCTTGCTCTTGCTCAGGCTGGTCTCGGACCTGTGAGCTCAGGTGACTGACCCACCTCGGCCTCACACAGTGCTGGGATTACATGTATGAGCCACCACGCCCAGCCTTCTCTGGGTCTTTATATGTTACTCAAACTGTCTATATCAAGACAGGAAAATGGAAGATAGGCTCGGTGCCTGCCTGTGGCATGGTGGTTAAGGTGCCAGCCACATACACCAAGGCTGGTGGGTTCGAACCAGGCCCACGCCAGCTAAACAATGACAACTGCAATAAAATATAGCTGGGTGTTGTGGCGGGCACTGTAGTCCCAGCTACTTGGGAAGCTAAGGCAAGAAAATCACTTAAGCCCAAGAGTTGGAAGTTGCTATGAGCTGGAACGCCACAGCACTCTACCCAGGGTGACATAGTAAGACTCTGTCTCAAAAAAAAAGAAAATGGGAGATAGATCCAGAAGGCTGCATATTTTGCAAAAAAATGGGAATAGGTTCTGCACCTGTGGCTCGGGTGGCTAAGGCGCCAGCCACATACGCCCAAGGTGGTGGGGTCAAATCCAGCCCGGGCTGCCAAACAACAATGATGGCTGCAACCAAAAAATAGCCAGGCATTGTGGCGGGCACCTATGGTCCCAGCTATTTGGGAGGCAAAGGCAGGAGACTCGCTTGAGCCCAGGAATTGGAGGTTGTTGT